GCTATAGCTTATGGTTCCAGGTCACCTTTAATCTTCATCAGAGGTAACATGAACGCGCAGCGTTATATCCACGAAGTTCTAGAACCCCATCTTTTACCCTATCTTGACACCCTGGCAGATCCAACTTTCCAACAAGATAATGCCCGACCACATGTTGCAAGAGTCACAATAGACTTCTTTCAACATAATGATGTCACATTGTTACCATGGCCACCAAGATCTCCCGACTTATCCCCAATTGAACACGTGTGGTATATGATGGGTAGGAGATTGCTCAATTTGCAACATCCTCCTCAGACTCTAGAAGCACTTCGAGAGGAGTTGGTGGTTGCCTGGAATGAGATACCACAGGAGGACATTGACCACCTGATCAGAAGCATGCCTAGGCGCGTTGGAGAATGCGTAGCACAGCAGGGTGCATCCACACAGTATTAAAGGTCAAAGGACTTTAAAGCAGTGCAATCATTTTGAAATTTTTATCATTTACTTATTATGCTTCATTAAGTACTTATACAAAATTTTAAGATTTTAAACATTTTTTATGTGTTAGCCATGCCTGAATTCAACTTTTTTGAGGTTAGAAATGAGCCTTTCATCGTATGTGACACCCTGTAAAATCTGAGGGTTGACTAACTAGTAAAATGTCTACCTTAGGTTTTACGATATGTTCTAATATGAGAACTACGTTAACAGGAAATTTACTACACAAAGCCTAGAACATGAGAAAAAGGTGACCTCATTAGCTAAAACAGGATTATTTCTAAATATTTTTTTAATTGGGACATTAAAAAGCATTGACCCAAAAAACCGTTATTCAACAGAAAATACAGGGTGTAAACGTTATGGTAGTCATTATTGAAACGGGTAATAGTGGGGGGTGAAAACAAGTCAAAAAGTTCATATGACCCCATGGTCTAAAAGTCAATAGATTTTTGTCTAAATGGTTTTATAGTTTACAACTTTAAGTGCTTCATATCGACCACAATCACCAGAATCTTACTAATTTTTATAATCTAATCTAAAACGTTTTTAAATTGGGTAATTAACAAATAAATGGCATTAAGTTTTTCTAAGCCAAAATTTGTAGTCAGTAAGTTTCATTAAATTAAATATTTAAAACACACATGACAACAGCGCGTCGGCCTTTCATCACTCTTATCGAACCGGCATCTGGTGTGTTGTTTTGTTTTTGGTCGCGTACGTCGTCGTGATATTTACAATGTTCCCGAAACAAGTGTTCGATGACATGTTGTTAGTTTACGGTGAAGCTCGTCATAATTTAAATCTTGCAGCTCAAATTTATCGCGACAGATTTCGCCAACGGGTACACCCAGACAGAAGGACATTTGTGCAAGTGTACCAAAGACTTCGAGATACAGGAAGTGTTCAGCCGACTAATATTCGCACTCGTGAAAGACAGGTTACTGTAGAGCAGGAGGAACAAATTTTAAATATCGTGGAAATCAATGCAGATATCAGCACTCGGGAATTAGGCCGCCGCGTAGGACTATCGCATACCATAGTCCATAGAATCCTACGGGAAAATTTGCGGAATACCCTACCAGGTACAACGAGTGCAGGCCTTGTTATCAGAAGACTATCCTCGCAGACTAAAATTCTGTCAGTGGTTTTTACACAAAAACATTGAAAATCGATTTTTTTAAAACATTCTAGCGACGGACGAATGTACTTACGCGAGACGGGATATTAAATTTCCATAATACTCACACGTGGGCACAAGAAAATCCTCATACCATTCGTGAAGATCATTTCCAACAACGTTTTAAAATAAATATTTGGGTGGGTATTCTTGACGATCAGGTAATTGGCCCTTTCGAGTTACCCCCAAAGTTGTCAGGAGAAGGATACCTTAGCTTTCTAGCCAATAACCTACCAGAACTTTTGGAACAGACCTTAGGCAACATGCGATTACAACGGAGACAGAATTTGTGGTTTCTTCATGACGGGGCACCACCACACATTTTTAGAGGCGTCATTCAGTATTTGAATGAACATTATCCAAACCGCTGGAAAAACTTTAATGCGGCTGCAATAATAAATGGACAACTTCGAGGACCTAGAGTAAGAAACTGCGTTCGTCGTAATGAAGCTTGTGTGGAAAGTGGAGGACGACATTTTGAACACCTTCAAAAACAAAAAAAGTGCAGTGTGGGTTTTAAAAAGAAAAACAATGTATGAATCAAAATTGTGTTCCCTATTTATAAGTGGATTTTTTTAATATCTTCAATAAACTTTCACACACCTGGTGAAGCGCTGAGACAGTTAGTGGTAAGTCCGTTTTTTTAATTGTTTGCATTTTACGAGTACATTATCAAATAATGAAATAATACCTAAGAGCCAAAAATAACAAACTCCATCTTCATTTACACTGCGTTCCGTCGAAATTTGCATCTGGCATTGCGGCGTTGTCAGATTTTATTTTACTTTAAAGTCGCTTTTCTCTAAAAAATGCGTTTTGACCCACATGTTATATGAAACACTTTGCTTCTTTTAATCCCCTCTATCACCCATTTAAATAATGACTATCATAACGTTTACACCCTGTGGAACAAAACAACATTGTAACTGTTTATAAATCATTACATAACGTTTATTTCTTTCGTCGCAGATTCGTGTATGGTAATTCGGTGACGATCAGTGGACGTTCGTTTTTTTTTCATACAACGGCTGTGACATTCATCTTTTTGCCCTGCACGGCAAGTTTTCAATTGGGTATAACAAAGGACTATCCAAATTTGTGTTTTCCCCTGTACCCTTCAAATATTGATGTCCATCAATATACCGTGCACACGTTAAATAAACATCACGCTTCACGATGTATCACAGTAAATATTGAGCGTGTAACATTCACCTTAAGATATTTAATTTTCCAATATGTACACCAGATATGTGACTTCCTAGCAATGCATTTAAATCTGAGCATATCATATATGTTGGGTTTTATAACCAGGATTATAAGATGTACGTTCATTAAAACCTGGAACAAGTCAAAACTCCACACCGTGTGTATTCACCACTGACATTTAGGATAACTAGTGTGATCATTATTTGTAAGCTGTCATACTCAGATGTGAACTCATTATAGGAAGATACCAAGAAATATAAGACATGTAAGAACTCTCGTGAAGAAATCGTAGGTTAAGTAACTGTTACGCCGCCTTTTATTTAATTTGATAAAAGTCAGGTTATCAATACTGGATAAAGAAAGATATAAGATTCACTAAAAAGTATATTCTCAACATACTCCAGGCTAGATTAAAAATGGTGAAATTTTTTTAGCAGATATCTGAAATTTTTAAATGACAAATGCATAAAAATACAGAAAAAGATATGCATTGTTTTTTATAAACGATGGGAAAAGCCCAAAATGCATTACTTTGCTTGTATAATCTTCAAATTAAAGATAATCGGTAAACTGGACATTTTAGAGCATAAAAACACCTTCAATTATGTTTTTCAAGAATTAAAATCGATAAACAATTATACGGGTTTTTTAGCAATATTAAATAAATGTTTATAACTATTGTAGTAACAATTGTAAATGGCTAAAAAAAGAGTCGTTGGTGTTAATAAGTGTGCTAAATTTCAGCCGGATCGGGTTAATAGTTCATGTAAAAGCTAACTGTTTAACTCAGATACGAATCATTTAAACAACTGTTCTTGCGAAGATATGTCTCTAGAACATTTTACAAAAGTGAAATGGATTCTTGAAGATTTCAACGTGAAGAATTTATGCAAAAAATTAATTATTTATTTCAAAATTGTTAAAAATTAATTTTATTGATATAAACATTTACAATAACTCCGTTATTTTCAAATATAATTTATTTTAAAATTTTGATCCTGTGGCTAAAAAATGCATATTTTTTTAAAAAACCTTCTACGAGTATATTACCAGTTACAAACATGGTTGGGCAATAAATTAGATCCAACCAAGTACGGGTGGAGTCAAAGTGACAACAGTGTCGAACCGATCTATACTAAGGACAATTTAATACCAGACGATGCTATCAAACAAATTTCCTGCAAATGTACTACTTTTTGCCAAACGGGTAGGTGTAGTTGCAAAAAACATGGGTTAGATTGCACACCTTTGTGCATAAATTGTAATGATGGTGATGATGACACAAAATGCTACAATCTTTCTGTTATTGGAATTGATGATGAAGGGCAAACTGAGAAAATCAACATGCAGTAGAGCGTCCAAACAGAAGATTTAGAACGGAGGATCAAGATTAATTAAATAATAAAATATTATAAAAAAAGAATACATTATATATATATATATATATAATAACACAAAGAATACAAATAAAATAAATATAAATGAAAGACAAACGTGAGTCAATATTTTTTACAATTTACTAGAGTGTATTTTGCTAAGAGTATACCAATTAACTGAATTATTAAACAATTTTACTCTAAAATATATAAATTATTTTATTAGAGTGTAAAAGTAATTGGTAATTTAATTTTGAATAATACAAAGTGTTAAGTTTAGAAAATGTATCATTATTTCGACGAATTACCCCAAATTAAAAAAAAACAGAAGGTTCTACGTTGCTTATTTATAAAATTTAATTTGGAAATTATACTAGCAAAATACTGAAATTTGCGGCTTTTCCCATTGTTTATAAAAAACAGCGCATATCTGGATGTATCTTTCTATGTACTTGTCAATAAAAAGACAACCCCGTTCCATTTAAAACTTTCAGATATCTGCTAAGCTTTTTTTCACCTTTTTCGTTATCTAGCCTGGACTATAGCATCATGCTGTCACCCCATAAAATGTTGGTAACGACCTTCCGAACATCCTGTATATTACAAGGCGCAATACGCTTCCTACGATTTATCAGACAATTCCTTCACTCATCTATTCCATTTCCTGGAACTACCAGAAATCATCAACTAATGTGTCAAAGCAAGTCAGCCACCGTGTCACGTCCCTGGCCGCCGCTTGGACGTCACCAGGCTCTCACCGCTCCGTTGCAACGTACTCGCCCTGCCAATTGGTTTGGTCTTCTGCACGGGGGCGTGGCCTCCGCCCGTCTCTCCGGGCGACATTCGCGTCAGCGCCGGCCCCTTTTTGGGGCCGCCAGCGATGCCTCTAGGCGCGTTCGCTCCGCCGTTGCCGAGCGTTTCGCCGCCGCGGCAGGCCAACGCGTCGTACTCGGTGCCGCGATAGTTGGCGTCGAAGAATTTCTTGAACCATTGCAAAAACTCGAAGTTGTCCTGGAAGCGGCCCTTCACCAGTCGGTCGATAGGCACGATCTGCGGCGTTACGAATGTGCCATGTGTGAAGAAGGTGATTGTGATTGGTGTGAACGGTGGAAATGTGAGGAATATGGTGATATGATCGCATAAAAGTGTAATCCGTTCTACAAGGCCTGTCGCAAAGTCAGATATCCGATACAAGTAGCGCCATCTATCGTTAGATAGGTACATATTTCATTGCTGCCCTGTCAAAATTTCATGACAATCGACCCAGTTCACGAGTTATTGCGCTCAAAGTGACAGTACTTTTTTAGCATCGAACAAAGAGCCAATAATAGTAGAAAATTTATCAAAAATACATAGAAATGGAATTAAATATCTCGAAAGTATCAATCTATCGCATTTTTAACAAGAATTTGAACATGAGAAAGGTGTTTCCACGGTTTGTTCCGCAAAAGCTCACGGATGACCAAAAATTGCTTCGAATTCAACATTCTAGAGACATCATTCTAGAGGCCAAAAAAATCAAAAACTTTCTGTTCAACATTGTGACTGGTAACGAGACGTGGTGTTTTCAATACGACCCCGAAACCAAGCGTCAAAGTGCAGAATGGAAGCATCCAAGCGAGCCAAATCCGAAAAAAAAAGCGTTTGGAAAGTCCAAAGTGAAGACAATGTTGATTTGCTTCTACGATTCAAATGGAATTATTCACAAATAATTCGTTCCACCGGGCCAAACGGTTAATGCTGTTTTATCATGGTGTTATGAGGCGTTTACTGCGGCATATTCGTCGCGTTCGGCCAGGATATCGCGAAGAAGGAAGTTGGCGCTTGTTTCACGATAATGCACCAGCGATCGACGCTTGTGTCCGATTTTTTGACAAAAAAAAATGTTATTTTTAACCATCAACCACTCCCCATATTCTCATAATATGGCACCGTGTAACTATTTTCTGTTGGGTAAACAACATTTGGCCATGAAGGGACAGCGGTATGCCAACGTAGAGGCGTCAATGACCATTTTGAAATTCCGATCAAAGAGCTAACATCATCATTCGAAAATCTTTTGGTCCGGGAAAATCGCTGTATTAACTCTGGAGGAGACTATTTTGAATAGATAAATTCGATTTTCAGAAACAAAAAATGCGTTCATTTTTTTTATTTGTCCTGTTTACTTTGCGACAGACTTGTACTTATATAATCCATAATTTTCTTCTAAATAACTTTTTTGAGGAGCAATATTCAGTCCTGGCACGGTTGGGACACCTCGTATATGGACCTTTCAAGTATAAAAAGAATTTTGTTGAAGCCTTATACACAGCTTGTTTTATTCCATTTCAATACATTCGTACAGGAAAACATCTGAGATGGATCTTCAATGTGCTTTGGAGGTTTTGAAACGTAGAACTACATATAATATCTCGGACAGTGACGATCATAACACCATTAAAAAAAATAAGAAATGAAAATAACAGCACAATAATAATTGTATCTTAAATGGAAACAAATAAAGCGGTGCGGGGCGTGTGCATACGGCAGTATCATCTGATCTACCACTATTTCGGAATACATGCAGTCGATCAAAATGTATGATGATTGGAAGTAATCGAACGGTGATCGAACATCAGAAAACATCCGCATATCAGATATTGGACAGAACTTCACAAGCCTGGTGCAGATGTAATAAACTTCCTCATTCATTGTGACTTTGAGCATATAGGCTATTTTAATAATTCAGCTGACGTTATAATTACAATAAAGTTCAAAAGGAACTGCAGCTGAATATTAGTACAGTTATCTTCTAATTTTAATCAACTCAGGTTAGGTATTTTAGTATTAGTATACAGGGGAGCTATTTTAGATGGTGATTCCTTGTTAAAAAATATGAAAAAAGTTTCGATAAACAGGGATCCAGAAATGCAGAGATTTCAAGATACAGTGTGATAAATTTGGAACAAAATCATCTTAAAAAATATTTACTCGATTCTGTTGAAATTTTGCATTATTTTTTGTATTAAGGGGCTAATTTAGCCTTAAATACGAGCCCCTTCCCACTTCAGTTGGCCCAACTATTGAAATCTTAGTTTTTTCTTATCAAACACAAATAATAAAAATGTACCAGGGTAAATATAGGTTTAAAATATTAACAATGAATATTTTGATAATATATAGTAGAAAACACCAACTTTATCACTCCCTAATCAAATTTGCAGCATAAAAATAACACATGTTCCAATTACAGCATATCAACCTATTTTCATTTCAATGCAAAATAAGTCTATAATGCATAGGTGGCTGTGAAAAATAAAAGCCATGACAATTGTTTTTATTAATCACAGCTGTCAGAATACGTTTAAAATAGTTTTGGGTAGTTAAGGTTTTCAAAATGGGTAGAGGAAAGGATTTTAGTCAGAAAATTCGGTTACTGATAATTAAATTTTTTAATTCTGGGAAATTAAACTCAGAAATTGCAACTTTGTTAGACTTATCGCGGTACAGTGTGAGAAATATTGTTAGAAGATATAACGTAACTGGTTCAGTTAATATTAAGCCACGATATGTGAAAAAAAGTAATATCACAAATGCCGACCGAAGAGCATTAAGAAGAATAATCGTGAAAAACAGGCGTGCCAATTATTTACAATTAAGTGCTTTGTGGAGTGACGCTGTTGGAAGGAGAATTTCGAAGTCCACAACTCATAGAGAGGCCCACAAACTGGGATTTAGCACTTGCAAGGTAAGTTTTCTTATAAAAAAAAGTGAAGTAAAAACCCTAAAGTTGCACAACTTGTTTATAGGCCAAAGAAAACCCACTATTAACTCCACTGCAAAAGAAAAATCGGCTTAGATGGGCTAAAGAACATAGACAATGGACACCTCAACAATGGTGTGCAATACAATGGAGTAATGAAGCACGATTCGAAGTTTGTGTTGGTGACAGTCGCAGTAGAGTTAATCGCAAAAAAAATGAAGCATTCCATGTTGACTGTTTGAAGAGAAAAGTGAAATTTCCATCATCCATTATGGTCTGGGGCAGTATGTCATCAAAAGAAGTAGGAAAACTTCATTTTATTGATGGAAATGTGGATACAAACAAATATTTGGCAATTTTAGAAGAATCGCTTTTACTAGTGATGGAAAAATGTTTGACAAACCGGCCAAGATTTTGTGTTTCATCAAGATGGTGCAGCGTGCCATACCTCAAAAAAGGCTATAAAATGGATGGAAGAAAATAATGTACCACTTTTGAGATGGGTTTCTAGCAGTTCAGATCTGTCACCTATTGAAACTTTGTGGCACGAGATGACAACATCCTGCTCGTACAATCACCGAACTGAGACAAAACCTTCAAGAAATATGGGATTGTTTTACACCAAATTTTTACCAAAACTTGTTTAACACTATGCCCCACAGAATTTCAGCAGTAATAAAAAATAAAGGTGATATTACCCAATGGTAATCTTTCAATTGTTGCTTTGTTAACTTCGCGCATTTATTCGCACACTGTTTATTTTTTCAGATGTTCTATTAGTTATAGGTCTAAGTGATTTCAAATATGTATTTTTTACGACTAGAGTGTATCTAAAATGTTTTTGAGAAAATAAATTGTTCTAGAAGTAAATAGTTTCGTCATGTTTAGTTTATAAAGGCATATTTCGGTACAAATCTTGTATTGGTCCAACTGAAGTGGGAAGGGGCTCGTAGATTAAAATTATTAGGTCCAGTAGCGGCCCGGAGGGCACCTTGCCAGCGTCTTTCGTAACTTTAATATTTGTTGTTTGATTAAACATCTAAAAATACAACTTATTTGCCTCATGTACTTTTTTCGTATCTCACTTCGTTTTCGAGAAAAAAATAATAATAACCGTTTTATGTACCTTGGAAAACAAAAAAATCATTTCTGCATGGAGGTTTGACATTCGAGCGTCAGTTCTTCTAGAAATGAGTGGTTGGTATTGTTAATTACCATAACACTCATGGATGGAGTGACGAAAATCCTCATGCTTACGTATAATATCGCCACCAGGAACAATTTTATTTAAATTTGTGGATGGGTATTGTTGGTGACAATTTGAATGGCCATTTCTTTTCACTCCTAAGATTAAACGGCGAATCTTAGAGTTTATTCAACAAGAATTGCTCGTACTGCTAGAAGAAGTTCCTGTAAATGTACGTAACCAAATAACTTTTATGGACCTAATAATTTTAATCTATTTAGGGCTAAATTAGCCTCTTAGTACAACTAATAATATTGCCAAATTTCAACAAAATCGAGTAAATATGTTTTAAGATAATAATAAAAAAAATATCACCCTGTATCTTGAAAACTCTGCATCTCCGGACCAATAATGTTGATAAAAACTTTTTTCATACTTTTTAACAAGGAATCATCATCTGAAATCTCCGTCTATTTATCGAACACCCTGTATAATATTACCAAATAACTCAGTGGGATTATTCTATAATCCTTCCCTATATAATAATAGATAATAGCTCAAACTAAAAATAAAAGATAATCAGGTCATACTTTATTCCTACAGTTATGTGCTTCCTTGAATTACCAAGAGGAAAATATCTTACACGAGCACTGTACAAGAAAACAAACAAAAATGATCTGGAGTACAAAAAAAAGAACCAATGACGGTCGATGAAAGCACAGCTAGTATAGAGTGTGCAAATATGTTGGGTTGAGCGGGCGAGTCAGTCTTTTATCATAAGATTTACATCGAGAAATACCAAAATTATAATAGCTAAATGCGAAGAGAAATATTTTTTGTAACGAAAACATCTCATTCACAGATTCTAAATATACAGGATGTCATCATATTTCGTGGCGTCAAAATAATCTTCTTAAAACACATTTTTTCGATATTTTTTGGAACCGATAGTCCGATTTGAATGAATTTTGGAACACGATTTTTTTAACGTCCTAGTATTTGACTTCTACAAAAAAATCGACAGGGTCAAAACTACCCCAACCCCTAAATGAATTATAGCAGAACTTCTTGCAACTCTCTTTTATTGAAAATATCTTTTCATTTACTTCATCTTTTGTC